TCTGCCCTTTGCTTTTATTATCCCATTTCCAAGTTCCCCCTCCTTCTTCTCACCTTTATTCATCATTTTCTTTTTTATCAACAATATTTAGATGTTTATTGGCTGATCACCGTTAACAATATTTCATGTTTTTCAAACCTTTAAAAAAAAATTGTCAAATATTTTGATCGATGGTCAACGGTAAGACGAAGATAAATGCTAATAGGTAAGCATGTATCGAATTATTTTGTTAGGTGTTTATACACAACTTTTATTGGTCACCATTAAGCTATTGACAAGTATAATAGAGAGAAATGCAGAAAAAGAGGTATTTTTCTGTTTTTTTTAACATATATATTATAATTATGTTGATATGTTTTGAATTTATTAATTAAAACATGTTAAAAATATTTCTAGTTTTTTAACGGTATAATAGTGCCCAAAGTTTGAATTTCTATATCTAAATTTTGGCAACAACGTTTTGATTTAGTTCTAAATTTAATGTGAATAATACATATTATTCTGGTTAGAAAAAGTGAAACCATTTAGACCCAAATATAAAACCCCTTTCTTCTCCACATGATTTGAATGTCTAGAAGGGATTTCAACTCAACGCTTGGAACACAATTTAACGGTACAAAAYTATCAACCACGTAATTTCTTGTTTAGTACAATGTGGGGTGGAAGATTCAAACTCATGATCTTCTAGTCGACCATAGATGTCTTAATCCATCGAACTAGRCTTAGGTTAACTCGAATAATTTCACCAAGAATGTAACACAAAGATGGGAGAGAAATCCTAATTATTCTCTTAAGTAAGCCCCCAAAATCCATTAATTACTTCAAAAAAAGGAGAGAGAAAAAAAAGAAGGAAGTGATAGAAGTTTTTTCCCAGATGTTCTCGCACTAATTTTGCTGGGAAAATTTTTACAGAACCAAACCATTAGCAATGGCACAATTGGTTTTGAAATTTGTAGTTTCATACACCGGCAATTCTTCTCTGTACCTCTCGATTCCAATAACCGAAAGATTATCCAATTCAAACAGATCAGAACTCGAACAACTCAATCCATCATCATCCTCATCGTCATAATCTTCATCGTCGTCTTCAAAATCATGCTCTGTTTTTACTTGCTCTGTTTTCAAAGGTTTCTTCAAAATGGGTTCGATTTTGTGCAGAATTTTATGGCCGCAGGGCCTGCAATCCTCGTCCACAATCACACTCACAGGGCAGAATCGAACCGATCTCTTGGCGGCGTTCCCTCGCGAAGATGGCGTTTTGCTCAAACAGGACCTTGAAAACGACGACGTAGAGGAGCACGTGGATCCCTGCAAGGATTTGGACGATTGTACGGAAGAATTCGAAAGTTTTTGCTTCGTTTTTGGGGTTCCRCCATTGAAAAGGGAATTGAGGAAATTGGCGAGGCGGGCTCCCGGGGAAATCGGCTGTTTCACTTTCTTCAAATCGTGGTACATTTTTGAGGCTTTGGATTTGGTTTTGAGGAACCCATTTTCGTGCTTCGGCTTCGGCTTCGGGATTTCTGTAGTGGTTTTGATGGGCTTCGGCCGTGAGAGGAATTCCGATTCCGACGAGGAGAATCTGCCGGCGGTGCAGCTGGATTCCGACGAGCTGGAGCTGGAATTCGTGAAATCGCGAACGTTTGATCCGACTTTCTTCTTCTTCATCTCCATCCACTTTTCGACTCGCCGGAATTTCAGAGCTTCGTCGGCGTCCTCTGTTCTCGCGGCGGCGATACTCTGTTTTGTCATCGTGGTTTCTCTGTAGAGAATCAGCTGCGGCTCTTCTCCCTGGCCGTTGGATTCGTCGATCGAACGGTAGATGGCGTCGAGAAGGGAGGAGGAGAAAGATGGGTTTTCGCGGCGGAGACGGCGGCGGTGATCTCGAGCTTCCCTCTGCAGCGGCTGCGGCTTATCCCACAAATTAAAATCCATCTTTGGAAAAAAAGATGAAATTTTGGGGAAAAAAACAAACAAGGATTAATAATGGAGATTGAAGAGTGGGTTTTTTGGGAAAATGAGCAGAGAGAAAGAATTTGGAAGACAGAGACTGCAATTTTTTGTGTTTTTTGTGTTTCTTGAGGTATCAGTCTGACAGAAACTGGAAGCAAAAATGAAAGGAGAGTTGAAGCTTTTGATGGGTAATGAATGACAGAGAGAGAATGATGAATGGAGAAGTCCACGCCTGAGMAGAGAACCAGAGAGAGCAGAAGATGATTGCTCTTTAGAGAGAGAAGGAGAGTATTGGAATGTCAGCCGTTTTCCGAGGCTAAAATATAGGTGRCCAATGAAAACGGGAACGAATCTAGTTCAATTGATTAAAAYATATATTATTATAAAAAAGAATATAGACGAGCATAAAATTATTCAATAGGGCTACAATCATGTGACTGTTCTAATAACTATAGTTTATTCAAATTCGAAATACAAAATCTATTATGCATYCAATGTTGTAGGCCAATATTTACTAGCCTTATTGTTCCAACTCATTCAAAAATTTAAAAAAAGTGAAKRWTTKRAAWYATAACCTTTTTTTAATCAAATATATGTCTTAACCAGTTGAATTATGATTGAGTCGACAATTATCTAAAACGGTTGAAATCGTGTGAATTACCATTCTAAATCACTACGTTATGTAATTATGAGGCAAAATTTTAAAATTGTATAAACGTCTATCTTAGAGAACGATCCAACTTATAGGTTAAATCTCTCATCTCGACATTTGCTGTACTAAAAAAAGTTATTAGAATGGAAGAGAGATTGATTTTGAATCTACATCAAACGATTACATGTTAAGGGACCAAAAAATATTGAAGGTAGTCAAATAACATGCCCTAGATACAAGTTTAGTATTATGTTTCCTACTAACTGACGTAAGTTCAAAACTTTGTATGTCCCTCGTAATTGTTTGTAGCATATTTTGTAATCTCTTTCCTCATACATCGAGCGGAATAAAACTATAGGCCTTGTTGTCGAGCCTACTCCTCCAATACTCTCTCTTATGTGATAGTTATATTGCAATAGCCATATTGAATAATTTAATGCGGGGCAAAAACGTGTTTATGTCAAGTGGATCCAAGCTGGAAGGGGTGCCAGATTGTCGGCGTTGACGTGGCATTTTCTTTATTTTTTTTCCCTGTAATATTATCGAAGTGTGTACGTACTCTTTATAGGAACTTTCCTGCTCCACACGGCATATGACCGTTGCTTTTTTCTGTTTAAAAAAACGATCTGACGGCAAATTCCAATTTTAAGACATAAAAAAATATATATATATTCTTTTGTATTTAGGTATATAATAAATAAATATAAAATAAAAAAATATCTTTTATTTTGAGAACGATCCTGGTAAATTTAAAAATGCAAAATTTTAAATAAACGTATTTACATGTGTGTGGTCAATACGTTTGGGTGCATTTGATAATAGTTTTATTTTTTGTATTATATGCTTTTTTTTTAAGTTATACTTTTTTATTAACAAAGTTAGTAATTTACTTTTATAATCCTAATAAAGAAAATTTAAGAACCAAATCAATTTGTTGTTGCCAAATTCTGTCTATCCCAAAAGTATGAGGTAACGAGACCGAGCTATTCAGAACTAGATGAATGAGTAAATTTCTGTACCATGAAAAAATACATTTCGACATTCAAATCAGTAAGAATCACATACATATATGTCAAAAAAAAATAGTTAACGTATACTTTGAAGGGATATAATAATCTATAAACTAGTATATTTTTTTAAAAAAATTAATAAGATACATTATAAGAGAGACGTCGCTTGAACTTAGGTTGAAAAAGGAATAACCAAGATTTTAACGGTTGATGTTGATACAAATGTCAATGTCTCACAATTTTATGTAAATATCAATAAAATGTCGATGTCAATAAATATTTTTAAAAAAATTATAAAAATAAAATATTTATAACAAATATTTAAATTAACAAAGAATCATTGCATTATTTTTAAATAAAAATTATTAACATTAGTGATAATTTATTGATACTGTTTTACACTGATATTTCTACTCAATATTGAAATAACCAAATTTAGGATTAAAGTAGGTGTGTGTTTAATTTTGCCCACCACTTTTTGCTGTTAGTAATCATAATTAACATCACAATTATTATCAATTAGCCTTCAATTAGTGGAGAATTAACACTTGGCACATAGCTTTAACATATATTAATTTTTTAACATGTAACTAATCATTAGGTAGTTGATTTATATGTGATTAAACCAAAAGAAAGAAGTTTTACAACCCTAAGGCATATAGCTTAATTTACTTATTTATCATGCAAAACTTTTTGGTGATCTAGGGATATATTAATTATCCTAAATTTCATGAACTCAAACTTATGGATCAAATCAAACTAAAATTTTAAATATATTCTAAAAAATGACATGAACACAACTAACCAATCATTCTTTTATGCAAAATCCTAATTTCAAGTAAAAGAAACTTTACGCTATAAGTTTCATATACTACATCTTTCATTTCTAAAAGTTCAGGGAGCAAACTAAAGTAAAAACAACAAATTGATAAAGTACTTTTTATATAATTTTTGAGTTGTGATAAATAAAATGGAGGGGCAATAATTATCTTCCTTCCTTTCCTTCTTCGCTCCGCCCTAAAATGAGAATCTAATATGCAAAATTCTCGAATCTTTTATGGGGCCTTACCTGTCTAACAAAAAGAATTTTTTTTATTACTATGAAAAAATGAAACACTGATATAATACGTTTGAAAATTGATAATTAAAGCTATCGAGTAAAAGAAACTTAATAGATGAGTATAACTGTATAAGATTCCTGATCTACAAGAAGAATTTCAACCATTTATTGATATCGTCTATCTACGTCAAACTAATCTTTATCGATTGAATCGTTGCTCTACGCCATAAAAATTCTCTCCAGTGGAGGTGCCAATAACCCATTATTTGGATACTTTCAACATGTTAATAATTATAATATATGCTTTTACTATACATGCATGTATTTATGTATGTATGGTATGTATAAAATATGCATGGAAATGTGAAAGAAGTGGGGAGTGAAAAAGGTGATTTAGACAGAGAAAGAAAAAGGGATTATGAAGATTGAAGAGAGAGAATTTTGTATCAGAGCTTTTAATTTGTAGTAAGTGGAAGTCATGAAGAAGAAGGCTGGTGGCCATATATTTTTGCCATTCAACTCTTTTGTGGAAGCAATATCTTCTCCTCTCCATTAACAAAGAACCTATCAGATGTGATTATCGCTTCATTATTTACTTAAAATAAAAGTTGATATCCTTGAGTGTTCGGACCAGTTTACGCACATATAGACTAATCTCACGAGCCAATCACCTGATCCGGGTGGTCGTCATGGAGTTTGAACACATTCTAAATATTTTATGAAATAATAGGAGTTGGATACTTCCTAAAATATTTCGAATGGGTTTGTTAACATGTAGGTTTAAATCCTTGCCGTTAAAAAGACGTCGTACTTTTGAAAAAGTAGCCATTTTGACCTTTAGAAATTGAGTGTAATGTTAGGCTGAAATTTTAAAAGAAAAAAAAAGAGATAAAAAGTATGTACCAAAATGTACGCTTCAAAAAGGTAGAAATTAAAATGGGATAAAACTGAAAGTACAAGGATGAAATAGGGACATTTTAAAAGTACAGGATTAAAATTAATCAAAAGTTGAAAGTTTAGGAACTAAAATAATATTTAAAGTTATATTATTGTTTTAACAAGTATCCGGCGTGTGTTTATCAAGTTTCATACCGTGTCCAACACATGTTTTGTTGTCATATATATAACAAGTATCTAATACGTGTCTCCAAAATTAGTGTTGGAGTTATCGACTTGTATCAGATGCAAATACGTTACCCAAACTAAAGTATTTCATTTCGCAGATAAAGTAGTAAAAAAGCTGCATCGTAGGCTTCTTAGAATGATGATGGAAAAAAAGGAAAATCTTCTTCTGCAAATATGGTGTGCAGTCACTTCAGTTTTTTCTTCTACACATCTTTTTCTAAGCGTACGTGTGTGCTTCTTTTAGAGAGAGAGAAATGTTGTGTAGTGGGATGGTGCTTACTTCCATAATTATTGCACTCGTGGCCTTTAAACTTTTAGAGAGAGTGAGGAATTGAAGAAGGAAAAAGAATAAGATTAAAGCCTAATGCATGTGATTTGATTAGCGTAATCAAGGATTAGAACCGGGGAGAATGTGATTATAATTAATTGTGGGAATCAAAACCAAAGTGATCCAAATCTCTCTTCCTTAATTGATGTCTCTTTTTCTTTCCTATTAAAATCGGTAGGGTTGATTTGGGATTTGGACGAGGTGGCAAGTCGATATTGGGTTTAAATTGGACGTCTACCTAGTTGAAGTTGGTTATCTGGAACACCAATGTGGTGTCGAGCTAAGTTCGATAAGGATTGTGTTTTAGAAAGCATTGTGCTGACATCTCTGTTCCATCCTGATCGACATCAAATTAAACTTTCATTTAGTTGAACATATAGGTTGATGTCGTCTAACCTTGATTTCTCCGAGCCGAGACTTCAAACATGTGCTCCTACGCGATAGGGCCACAAGGAGATACATTTGAAAATCTCTAACTATGTTAATATATAGTCTTAAATATATCTTAATTGCATTATTAAGGAGAGAGAGGGGAAAAAAATTGGCTACAAAGAAAATAAACCCTGCCGGCCTGGTTTGAGTTTTCAACTGTGGATTTGCTTTTTCTTTTCTCTCTCTCTTTTCTTCACATGCTCTCTTTCTCTCGTCCCTTCAAGTTGAAGGCAAATAAATCAATTATTATATGCAACAAAAGGTTATAATATATATTACATGCCCAATTAATTATTGTCACGCCCATTTTAATCATGCCATTCCTCTATTCTTAAGTTGTTAATTAATTAATTAATCATCCCTAATTAAAATCTCCACAAGGGCCCAATCTCAAAATGCCATGCCAAAAGTGAACACAAACACAGCTTAGAGAGAGATTTGTATATTCCCATTTTCTGGTTGAATTTTCTCAGCTAAGAAACTTTATTTTGAACCAAATTATAAGCTGAAAAAAAAAAGGGTGGAGTATGTGGGGTTTGGTTTTGGCACTGTACCCAAGCAACATATGGTAGAGAAAGAATAAAAGATTTTAGGGTAAAATATATTTGAATTTCGAATTTAGGTTTCCGCTATTTGATCCTTAAGTTTAAAAAACTCATTTCTTTTAGTTCTTGAGATTTAAATTTAGTTTCTATTTGGTTCTTTAAATTTCAAAAGTTGTTGCATGTTTCATACCTAAAATTTGAATTTAGTTTTTAATTGGTCCTTAAGGTTTGAATTGATTGTTGGTTGATGACCCAACGGAATCATGACATGACAGTTAACATGTGTTTAATTACATAACGAATGATCTCTCTTAAATGATTCAATACGAACATCAACAAATCTAGTTGGCTACATAAAACCTTGTTGATTCGCATTGCAAAATTTGAACGACCTGTTCAATTAAATGTTAAACTGGAGATTAACGAAAGGGAAGAGTCGTGGTGTTGTCGGAAGAGTGGAAGAAAGGAAGGAGAAGAGGAGGGAGGGAGAGAAATGAGAGAAAAATGTCACATAGGAGAAAATAATAATAATAAAGAATAATACAATTTTCCAACTCATTTAGAAAATACACCTCATCAAAGTCTAGTTGATATGTGATCATTTGGTCAGGTCAATTAACGGTTCAACTCAATTTAAAGACAAATTAAAAATTAATGAAATTCAAACGTCAATGACCAAACATGTCACTTAATTTGAAACTTCAATGATCAAAATTGAAACTAAATTTAAATTTTAAAGACCAAAAACGATGATTTATTAAAAACTCAATGTCGAAATCAAGTTTAAAATAGCAACTAAAAGCATATTTTTTCCAAAATTTTATATTAATCCTTTCAGATTCGTTTCATGTCATTTGATCTATATGATCCATGAACTTAATTTATGTAAAAAAAAAAAAGTGGATTTTATTTTCCTGTTAGATTCCTTTCAGATCATAGTATGACGATTTAGAGAGCCCCCCACTATAAATTTTAAAGAAAATTAATCAACCTCTACTTTAACACGTGTCTAGCTAATTAGCCCCAATTTTCTATGAAAATGGCCTTCCAATTGAGTATTAACAGTATGATTAATTGTTGCAAGGGGATTACTGACCGAGTTCAACGATTAAGACATCACTCATTTCTTAGTCAGAGGTTCAATCTTCTAGATCAAAGTTTTAAATGTCGATGTCCATGTCGATAAAAATGTCTGAAAATATTGATATCGAAAAATTTTATAAAAAGAAAAAATTAATTAAAAATATTTAAATTTACAAATAATCATTTGATCACCATTTTTAAATACGTTTAAAATTTTTATTATTAATACTACGTCCACCTATTGATATTCTTTTAATATTTTCCAATACTATCTTTCGTTACGTTGATGTCGAACCATGAACGTATAAAAATGTGGACATGTCGACAAAAATTTAATACCTTGGGATAGACGAGAATAGTCAATATCATGTAACGAATTTGGATAAAATTTTGTAGTGGATGAAGAAGCAATTTGTCTACCACTAATCACAAACACTTTGGGCACCATATTGTATAGGAGCAATCAAACGTATTCTTCAATGTATTCGAGTAGACTTGTCGCCTCCCACTGCAATCACAACTCTTGATTATAATGTTTTTCATTGCCTCCTAATTTACTACATGCAAATATAATATATTCTATTATTACTCAACAGTCTCATTGCCAATTGATTTTGAGATGGAACTCCATGAATATTAATAGTTTATTTTAAATTAACAAATTTCTCCCACTATCTCTTATCCACCAAACCCAACTCTACGCTTGCATTCGAGTATAGACAAATCAATCATACTTGTTAATTGAACAAAATAATAATCATGATATATAAAAATTGGTCTCAGCGTACCTTTTGATATAACGTTTTAAATCTGTCATTTAATTAAGTTATTATACAATAAAGTTATTATACAACAATTTCAGATAGAGGACGACTGTGATGTATTAAATTAATAATTTTATTCGTCTAAAATTTGGAGATTGCTAGCTTGTAAATTAAGATTTTGGAAGAAAGACTAATATACTGCATACTCTTGGAAAAAAGACTTGACATTTACAAACCTAATCCACAAATATGATTTAAGAAATTAGTTCATGTTTATTTAAATGTTTCCTTATACTTTCATGTGACAACCTACGCCACTGAGACAAATTTTTATTGCATTTTAAATTATTCATAACCAAATTATGTGAAACAAATTGAAAATTTTCAAGAATATGAAAGAAATATACAACTCTGTTGGGTAACATTTCTATTTCTTGTTTTTGTTTTTGTTTTTCAATAAATAAAAACATAAATGTACATATTTGGTAACTTTTTTTTCTATTGAAAAAAAAAGAAATATGTTTAGTAACTCTTTTTTATTCTCATTTTCAAAAATTTTAAATTAAAACAGAGTACATTTTTTATATGAAAATTAATTTTGTAAATTAAATTTTTTTAACAAATCTCATATTTACTTATTAATATTTATTATACATGTTATAAGTTAAAGAATGATAAAATAAAATAATGATTTTATTTATGGTTTGGAGAAACTTAGAAATTGATACACGAACAAATAAACTCGATTTTGCTTTTTTTTCTTAATTTCTACACAATTTTTTTAAATATTTCCTACAAATGAAAAATGAAAAACAATAATAGCTACCAAATATTTATGTTATCAAAAACTGATAACGATAAAACAATGAAAAAGAAAAATATTACCAAACTAGCCCATAGCCCATTTTTATTATAGTATCCAATGCAATATAAAAATTTGGACCTGATTTTTAAATATATTTTTGTGAGTAGCTCCTACAATGTTGTATCATTTCAATTCAAAAGTGGTATAATCAATAGCTACAATGGAGTAGGGACTGTACGGACGGTCCGCTTAAATATAGGCCAACACCAAGTCACCAACACATTCAAAAAAGTGCTAGAATAAATAAACAAAAATATTTATTAAAAAAAAGGTTGAGAGAGAAAAGAAAGGTTCATGGTTGCCAATTATTAAGTTACCTCCTATCACCTACGTGACTATATACTAGAAAGACAAACACGAGTTTAGCTCAACAGTTTAGGACATCATTCTTTTCATTTAAATGTTGGAAGTTCAATCTCTCATCTTCAAACACTACACTAAGAAGCTGTGAAAGAGAAAAAATTATTGAAATCTCTGTCACAATGTGACCGCCTCTAATAATCGTTGGATGTAAATTCGAAATCTAGATGTCCCTATTTCTCTCATATGTTCACCGGTGTAAAATTACGCTACATTGTTCCGGTCTTCTGGTCTCCTCTAATAATTTATAGGTAAGAAATATAACCTGAATGTGGGTTGTTGCTGTCAACTGGTCAGAAACAGTCCCCTGCTATTCAGATCTTCTGTCCATATCTATTGCCATGGGAGGGATTCATGAGCTCTTGCTGTTATCCATTAAAACTTGCATTTCAAATTAGATTCATTCATTCATTCATTCACTCACTTTTGTCCACCAAATTATGAACTAAGAAACGTTTTAAACCATTTTTCCATAGCATTTCATCATTCATTCTATTACCTTTGATAATAAGACAGGTCCCTGAGTAGACTTGAAACCAAGAGAGAATAATAGAGACTGATGACTAAACTCCTAGTGGGACATTTGTCCTACCTTGGGAAAATAACCTGTTTTCCCAACAAACTGACAAACAGGACAAGAAATAAAACGATGCTGGGAAAAAAAGAAAGAAAAACCGAAGTATGTGTTAAAGTTTGAATGATGAAGCTCTAAAGAAATGCTTCAACTATAAGCATGGTCACAAACACTTGAAGATGAGAATGCATGAACAATGTAAACACAACTTTAAAACAGGTCAAGAAACTATTCTAACCAAAACGTCTAAAGTACAAGATGCTTCTTAGCTTCTGCGAAATGAGTAATGCATCAAACTTTAAAGTTAGTGATTCTTTTTTTTTTTTTTCAATTTCTTTCAAGTGTTCCAAAGTTCGAAGTACCAAGATAAACATCACACAGATCCCCAAAACATGCATCGATTTTTGCACGCATATCATGTCAAGCCATTGTCAAACTGATGATGATGGAAATACTTTGCATGATGTAATCCCAAGACTCTTTAACCAAAAGAAAAAGCAAAAAAAGCGCAGCTTCAAAATAGATGAGGTATATTATAGGGACTCAGATGTGTAGGGTTACTCTTTTTTGTGCAAAGCATGGAGGTGATCGTAAAAGAAAGGGAAGGAAGGAATAATGTGTTTGGCAATCCCAAGAAATTGAGCTGACAGTTCTATAACAAAAAGAGAGAGAATTAAACAGGACAAAGTCTCTATTCAGAAAAAAGAACAAAGACAGAAGAATAAAGCGTCTTACTCACCTCTTTTTCCTAATCACAAAAGAAGCAACACGCATGGAAATGATCCAGAAACCAGCTCTTTGTTACCATCTCCTATAGTAATTGAGATCTTTCAATATGAATATATTAATCTTAGATTCAAAAGTTCAGGGACTTCACCTTGACATTTACCTGGTAAACTGCAGCATAAAATTCCTAAACAGACATTTCCCAATTAATACCTGCAATATTAACGACTATTATCTCTAAAATTCAAATTCTAACAAGTTAAAGTTAAAGGCTAGATGATAACTACAAAAAGTTGCTTGGTCACGTTCCTAACACCAAGGATTCTGTTTCTGTCCACTTGTTACTTTATCGATGATTAAGGCTAGTATGACAAATAATAACTGAAACAGCAGATGAAACCGATGCAAATGGAAAAACCGCATACTACATTGAATATGAGAAGGTTATCGATTACACATTTGACAAAATATAGAACATTTATGGCTACTTCAGTCCCTTGGTATAATAAAGGGGGTTAGATTCACAGTTTTTTTTCCTTCCCATTTGTCTAGAAATTAGTTGTCCAATTAAGATGACCCAACTGAGGCTGCTGGAAAGTACCAACTTGTGGCCCAGGAGTGGCAGCGGCCACTCCAACTCCAACATTCCCACCCATACCAGGCCCCATGTGATGAGGATTTCCAATAGCAGCAGGCTGTGGAGGTGGATGGTACAATCCAGGGAATTGCATGTGTGTAGACTGTTGCGCCACGGCTGCGCTGAAGGAAGCGTGACCAGTATGAGAAGGCAAATAAGCACCATGAGGTGTTTGCCCTGGCATGTTGTAATATGGAGTCGATTGCAAACCTGGAAGATCTCTTGGGTTTTGAATCCAAATTTCAGATGTCTCGGCCTGTAACAACAAATACACAAAAGCTAATATTTTAAACTACCTTATATTATTAATTATAAAAAGGTCTGATTGGCTTGGGAGCGGCTGATATCATGATGACCCAGATTAAATAAAAATGTCAGGGGTTTCATTTCCTTCCCTTTCCCCCTCTAAATAAAACGTCATATGCACTAACAACCCACAGGCAAGGAATGATATTAGGCCAACAATAAGCTTACATGTAAATCCTCAGAACTATAGCAAAACCGAAATAGAAAATAGCAATCATAGTCACTAACCTGAGCATTTGGAACATAAAGGTTGCCATCCTTGTACTTCATTCGAGATGAATCTTCCAGTCCGGTTGCACTCCCAACTACACCAGGAGCATTCATAGCAAACCCAGCAGGATTGTTGAAGTTTCCAAACCCTGCGGGACTGGCAGCAGGGACAGGCTTGAACTGCTGGATCCCATACTTCAGGTTATTGGCATTCATGTGAGTACTACCACCAGGCATCAGTAAGTAACTGTTACCATTGGACGGATGAGGATATGCTGGGCTACTAGAATAACCAGGCATGGCCATTGGTGGAACATAAAAGGGTGATAGGAATTGTCGATATGGCATCAGGTTCCCAAAATGGGAAACATGAACTTGTGGATACATCTGGGCAACTGGCGTTTGCTGCTGTTGCACCATTGGAATTGTTGACGCTGAAATGCCGTTACCAGTATGAGAATTCACCGCCTAGGGTCAGAGATTTAAAACAGTGAGTGAAAAGAAAAATGATACTTCCTGCAGTAGACTAAACTACTCACTCGAAAAGAAAAAATCATAATGATTATAATTTACAATCATTAGACGCACAAAACATATATATGCCCTTATCCATTTAACATAAATCTAGAAGATAATAAACACGAGAAAATATTATGTAAACAACTACTCTTACATCTTGAGATGGTAGGCCTTGCACCCGTACAGTTTCATCCACTGTCGGTCTGAAATAAGGTATATCATAACCAGTCTGTGGATCATACGCCTGCTTGCAAAACCAACAAATATCACAAGGAAGAAAAGAGAGTTTCCCAGGAAAAGATTACGGAAATGGAAATGGCATCATTTTACAACAACTCAAGAACCACTAACTTTAAACCATCAATAGAGTAGGAATATAAAATATCACAATTCTTGACAGCTGCCTCAAGTTAATAATTCTAATGCAAACTCACTGAAAATCCTGGTAACTCAGTAGGATCTTGATTCTGCGAAGGAGCATATTTTGGACTCCTATCTCGAACCAGTCCAATCTCTGCATAAGTATCCAATGTCTGAGGACTAGAAGGTTCTCTTTTATCTGCTGACGGAAGTTCAGTTGCTGTACCAGAATCTGGAGAATTAGATTCTGAACTTTGGACCTGGTCATCCAGTAAATCCACCTGCCTGCTGCCGGAAGCATCATCAGTAGATATCTCCGGAGCAGATGCTAACTGACTGCAGCAACATTGCCAAATGGATAATATCAGCACAAGATAAAAACTACCAGCAGGTAGTGTGAATCCTATGAAGAATATTTCTTCAGGGACACTTATCTGGCTGGTTATTTTATACCACTTAATTCTAATATTTATCTGTCTAATTCTAATATTTATCTGTCTATTCCATAAAGGAATGCTGTAAACTCCATGCCCTATCAGTTTTGGGGATATTTATACTACATAGGAAGCTCACGATAGTGCCACGTTTTATTCAAATTAACTTTAAAGATTAAGGGAAAATAAAATGAATACGAACCTTGCTGATGATTCTACATTCAATTCCTCTGGACCTCTAATGGGCTGAAATCCTGACGGCAGACATCCAGAAGAATCAGCTTCTGCCCCGAAACTGCCAAAGACCAGCCGGTATTGATCAGTATCGGGAACTCTAATATGCTCTGCTATGATAACACTCTGGTTCTCATGAATGTCTACTCTTGCAAGCTTGTCTTGTACATTAGCTGCTTCAGCAGGCAACTCTTTGAACTCATCATCAGTAGATTTAGATTTTGAGGGTGTTCCTATTACTCCAGGATTACTTGTGGTACTGCTAGACTTCTGGCTTGATTTAGGTTTCCACTCCTTGTTAGGCTGAGAAGCTGCATCAAAGCCGATGGTGAACTCTCTCCTAAAATTTGATGAATTCCCCAAGTAAACACACACATGAACAAGTGAAGTGCGGACATGCATGCTCAAACAAACAACTCTTGTCTAAGGGACAGCATAAAAAATGCAATACTAGCAGTTCGTTGACAAATAATAAAAATATTTGAACTTCACAAACTTCTGAACCAGAGAAAACAATAACAAAAACACTAAGGTAGCTTGGTGTTCCTCTCTTTTGGGGGGAAAAATGAAAATAAGAATACTAAGATACCTTTCTGATGACCCATAGTTGGTTGATGTTGCCTGCTACTATGCTGATTGTTTAACGTTGATCTACTGCTTACCAGGCCAGGAATCACAGGTTCAGTAATTTGACTAAGGTGTTCGCCCTTAGAAATGGAACTTAGTGGTCGAAATGAGTCTGTAGAAGAACCATCCCTTCCCGCAACAGAATTTGTAAGAGAAACACTTGGTCCAGAAGACTGATTTGTAGAACTTTCTTTTAATTGCCGACGAACACCTACTGCCCCAACTTCACGTTTTATGGCTCCAACTGCGGCAGATGATCTAGAATCTGGAGATGGTACATGAACTGGATCTGTGGAAGAAGAATACAAACCAACAGCAGTGCCATTTGATGCCAACACTGCTGAATGTTCCTCAGAATCATTTGGCTTCAGCGTATCTGAAACAGAATTCAAAATGGAAACCCCCACGTCCTCCCTTAACTCTTTCTTGGCTATTTCAGTTAAATAACCATCTCGTTCACTGTTGGGATGAGAATCATTTTTCCGGAAAGACAATTGTGATATCCTACCACCAGAGGGCCCCTGGGCTCCTGTCGGGCTGATACTGATGAATAAATTAAGAAAAGTTAGAAGGTCTGGATATTCGATTCAAAAAATATTCAAATCTGATAAATGAACAGATCTATTTTGGGGAAGAAGAATAGGCTTCCAAATTTTGGTATAGATTAATCCACAGAAGAACATAATGCAATAGACAACAAATAGGTTTTCAGGTCAAATGCTAAAAAAAGTAGTATTCATAAGCAGCAGTATGGCTGCAATATAAATTACTTTTGCGAGTTTCAGGTAAATTTTTGTGTAGAGAGGGATGTAACAAAGTGTTACAGCTTGCTGTTAATGCAGCTGCACTTACATAAATAATACCAAGACCGGAGAAGTTATTTTTGGAGGAGACTATGCGTTTTTGGGATCTGCATGCTCCCTGGTTATTACCACTAAGGGGTCCATACGATTTTCCCGATCTAAATAAAGTAGGTTTTACATACCAAGCAAATGATAATGTTAACCAAAGTCCGTCTATCATGTTTTTTTATTCAACACTAAACACATCAAGACAGTGCCCAAAAATAAACAGAAATGTTCTGAGATCTTTCAAGGAAGACCCAGGAACTCTTCATCGCAAAATCACAGCACAGCTACTTCTGTAATACAAAAAGACATCATAACTTCAGCACAGTACCTTCTAACTATTTTCATTTCTTTTTGGGATGACAACCAAGCTTTCATTATTTAACATCAAATGCATACAAAAAACCAACCCCACAAAGGAGCCCAAATTTAATGGTGTAGAAAAAGATTTTAATCCAAAGACGGACGCCCAAAGAGAAGATTTGAACCTAACCACAACCTCTCTCCAAGACCTCTCAACTCCTCTAAAAATTCTATCATTTCTCTCAAGCCAAATACCCTATAAAATAACCAAAAAAAAAAAGAAGAAGAAGAAGAAGAAGCATGCCAAAGGATTATGCCTTTATCTCAAAAGGGAGGTTCAAAATTGGGAGTTTGAGAGCAAAAAAAGAGTTACCACTTCCACTGTCTCCATATCCGAGGAGAAATGGAAGGAGAAGAACCCAAGGAATGCAAGATAGATGCCACCAAATGCAAGCTGATACAACCAGGGAAACAAAAGTAAATACCTCAACCTTTTTGACTGGGAGTCAGAGCCTTTACTCCCCTACACCATAGGGGCACTTGCACCTAGCCCAAAGTCCAAAATCAGGGGACATCAAATATTTTTGGTACTAAACTCAACGGAAGGTTTGAATTTGAGATCTTTAAGCCAATATGACCAAGAGATTCTAAGCCCTTGCCAACCGAGCTGCGCCTTAGGAGCTCTCAACCTTCCTTGATATAAAGGAAAATCTGAAGATAAAGCATTCCAAGGATTTTTAGAGAAGCCCTCAGACTTGCAGACTAAAGCCCAGGTGTGGACCATATTTACTCACACCGATCCTATGCCATAAAGTGCATGCCTTGTAAAGAAATTCCAGTGAAAGTCCCTTCATTCCACTCTAACCATGGTTTACAATACAATTTCATTTCACTTAACACAAAAATTCTAATCCTACTCCAAAAATGCAGTTGTTCGAAATAGATGTTATATTTCAAAAAGTTAAATAATAACAATAATAATAATAATAATAATAATAATCAAATTATATATAAGTACAAAAGTACTAACAGAAAATGAGGAGAAAATAAATTATTAGTACCCTGATTTTGACACATTTGTAGACACCTCGTTGGTGGATATTGCCAAATGTGGAGATGCAGGTTTTACTTCCCTATTTGTATTTCGATTAACTCTGTTGTCTCTTACAATGCGGAACTCTTTGCTGATACCTAGATTTAGTAAATCAATCAAGCAGTTAAATGAGAATTTTATATAAAGCAAACGAAAAAGCATGATAAGTGAATGCCGATAAGCCATAAGCCCATTCAATTTAGTTGTGTTCATCTCCATCATGCATTATCTTTATTCTGACTAAAATTAGGAGAAAGAAAGTAGTGAAATCAAAATCCTTTCACGGGTAAGATATTATAACTGAGAAACTACATGCGTGAACATCATCAACAGGCTTCAACTTCATCAATAAGCCTAGTATCTGCAGGATATAGTGCTTCAAGAAAAATAATAGGCAAAGATTAAAAAGTACCAGGCCAAGAACTTTTTGCATAGGCCCCTCTCCGGACATTACGATCAGACAATGTATATACCTTTGTCCCTTGCCTCACATCCTCAGAATGTCTTTGTGTATCCAATGAACCTTTGTATCCCATATTCTGAGACCAAACACATCCAAAACCTCAGTTACCAGGTAAAGTTTAAAAACTAGCTGCCATAAGAATTTCATTAAAAACACGGTTTTAAAGATAACATAAAAATCATAAAGCTAGATGCAAATTAGCACAAATAATATTGGAGAGAAAACATAAAAGGCTAAAACAGTCACTAGCTCATAGCCTTGATTTTCCAGTACCCAAAACCATTTAGATATATGTAATATGGCATATAATAGCATGAAATTTAAAAAAACCTAAAAGCAGTACTCCTCAGTAGATAAAACAACAACTTTCCAAAAGAATAGGACAAATCTAGAATATTATCATTCTATCCAAAAGACAGTGCATACCAACCAAAGATAAATAAGCAACAATATGCAATTTGTAATATATATGATTTTTTGTAAGATAAAAGACAATTTTCTTTAAGAGGGAAAGATACAATGAAAGACAAGTCACTCCATGAAAATAACAAAAGGTCTATGTTGTGAAGGTCGCCCGATGTATTATAGGCTTATGTGGCTAAAACCTCAAGGAAAAGTTCAAATTTATAGCCTTAGGTCTTGTATCCTCTTTGGATCATAAGAGGAAGCGGCTTACACTTCCTTAAGACTTCTGAAATAGTTAGAAAAATAAAATAAAATTTTCAAATGCTTCAAAAATATAAGTTTTCACTTAAATATTTAATCCAATTACACACAAATTGATAATTTAGCCTATTACAGCTTTAACAAGCAAAGCTTAAACAAATACTGTAGACATTATTATGCTTTTATCAATATTTTTCAATATAAATGAGGTTTGTAAATCATATTGTTTCAGGCTATGCCTTGCCTCAAACATTGGCCTTCATCAAGGGAAAGGAACAGTATGTGAAGATATAAATTAAAACCCGACCTTGTATGTATAACTGTTTACATCTACTGCTAGTAACAGCTCACAGTAATCACTAAAGATAAATTATATAAATGGTATTTATGACTAGCAAGATATCCACTATGTCACTGATCATACCTCCTTCTTCTTATCTCTTCTTCTCTTCACTTCACGGAATGGATCTGATAAATAACAAATCTAATGAGAAAATTGATTCATAGATGAAGAAACATAGTGGTAGACAAATTAAAATACAAAAAAAAAAAAAAAAACCAAAAGACTGAAAAACATACCATGAAATCATTTATGCTTTTAATTTCTATATAACGTATAAATTTATGTTCGACTCAGAGGCATCTTTCAGCCGGTCACGGAGCATCTCCACATTAGCTAATTACTTTTTATTTAATTACTTATGATGCTTTAAGATTCTTTTTCTTTCAAAAAGTTTGTCGTTTTTTAATAAATATAAGGCAATGCAACTAATACATCTTGAGCATGCTCAATACCAGGACTTTTATGTACTACTTAAGTACTTCCTAGCCTGCCAGCATGTCGGAAAACCTTATGGAGTGTGTAATACCCAAAATATCCATCCCCAGGTAATTGTTAGCCCATATTCTCTCTGGTTGAAAGTGAACCCAACCCATAACCTCTTGGCTGAATCAATCTCATTTTCAATTGTTCAGACTATTTCAAATTTTATTTCATCTAATAAGAAACAAATATACTCTCCAAAACACATAATTAGTTAACGAGCCATGTCAGGGGAAAGTAGGCAACCATTCTCTAAAACATATGCAAAAAGGAAATTATTATACATCTATGGAATTGAAATATTACTACGTCTCAGGCCTTGATGCAGGTAGAAGAATGGACCAAACAAATACTTAAGGCTTTGTCAAACTCTTTATTAAACACTTCAACAAATTAATTGGACGATTGTCAATATATGGTCCAAGCTAGAAATCCAAGTTAACTATCACCACACAGAAAAAGATAGATAGGCACTTAAAAATTCTCAAGTCATATCGAAAGGTGAGAGAATCCAGTAAACTAGCATAAGATTAACTGATAAAAATATTTGAAGGGAAAAAAATTCCAAAAAAATCCGCTGAACTTAATATCAACAACTGCTGATTTCTCAGAACACCAACAAATCTGTTTCGAAATTCTGATCATTAATCAATCACAAGAATAACAAAATTGAACTCGACTATAGCACACGAAAACAATCATCGGCGCGTTTCGGAGAATTAAAGCAACTGAGCAACTTGCCACGGTGGGGGAAAAAATCGTTATCACTTTAATGACTTCTTAAACCATCAAAGACGAATTTTTTATCTTTCCCACTGCCCCAACAGAAGGAGCATGCGCCCATTAGCCAGAAGCCAAACACCCCCCCTCCCCGCCCGCCCAAAAAAATACAAAAGCGCCAAGCGAAAAAATGTGGGCCAAGAAAACGCTGTAAATAATATTCGCTTTCTAAGAACAATCATAGATAACCCCAGGCATGGAAGAAAGAAGCCAAAAAAGTAGACCGGGAGTTAGAAAAAACCTTGGTTGAGCAACTTCTGCGCGGTTTCGTTGGGATCCATATTAGTTTCCTTGAGAGTTGTGTATATATCGGCATCGGAGTGATTGCCCACGATCTCTTTAATGGATTGGATGGTTTTGCGGACGCGAGCAGGGAGTATCTGAGTGGCACCGTCGATTCTCAAGCCAGATACCATTTCCAAGGAGTGGAGAAGCGAAAGCGAAAAGGAAGAGGACAGTGATTACCACAGCAGGGGCTATAAATCAAAGCCAAACACAGCAGAAGACGAGAAAGAGAGAAGAATTAGGGTTTGCATTCGATGAAAGTGTAAGAACAGAGGACGGCTTCAGAGAGGGAAAAAGGGTTTGGGAGCAAGGGTTTTGAAAACGTTTTAACCCCCTCGCAGGAGAAGACTTCCTGTTCGGGTTGGGGGAAAGTCATATTTTATTTTGTTTATGTTTATGCCCTCCACGATTGATGAAATTGCAGAAATACCCCCCTCTCTCGTTGCAAAGTACAAAGTTACAAACACAATTTTTGCAAATATTTGGTTGGGAGCATGTGCATCCTATTCCCTCTACATACGTAATATAAACCAAGGTTTAATTTGGTTTGTTTTAGTTCGTGTGTTTTTACTATGTTAATTTCGGTTTTTATACTTTCAATTGTTATTCTTCTACTGTTTTAGAAGTGGCTATAATTTTGGTTTATTTACTTTGAAAAAGTTACTACTTTAATCCTTGTTTGTAATATTTAATGTAAATTTTATATACGATGAAAATCATCTTCTTGGTAAAATTTTATAGGTGTGTTTCAAATAATTTTGCGAGTGGACGAATTGTTGTGCTACCGTTTTGATTGAAATAAATGAATTAATCAAAATTGTCATTTTTTAAAAGTACAATATAAAATGAACTTTCCAAAATTGCAGGATTATAATAATCAAATTTTGAAATTATGGGGTCCATTAATGTTTTTAAAATACCTTAATCCAAATAAACTAAAGTTTAAAGTATAAACATCGTATTTAAACTTATAAATCTAGTTAAATTACAAGTTTGGACCTAATAAAATATATATGATGAGACCTACTTTAATAATTATTATTATTATTACTATTTTGACATCTACTTTAATAAATATTTAATAGGTAATTTCATACTTAATATCTCCTTGAATTTTAAAAGGTATATGACAAGTCCATGTGATTTTTATTTTGTACAAGTTGTGCTTCATTTATTCAATCTATTTTATTATTATTTTACAATTTTATTAAATACAACATTGAATTTCGTTCAACTTCACGCCGCTGAATCCCATAATATATTATTTATCAAAGATATTTAGCTTCGAGTCATAATCTATATTGTCCTTACCATATTTTTAAAAAACAATGAGCTATCAATAATTATCACTCGTGAAGACTTAAGTATTTTCTTTACCTACCATTCTAATAAAATTTGAATTTCAGTGACATGGTTAGAAAAAAAAAAGAGTCTATTATATAGTTTTTTTCTTTTAATTATATTATGTAGATATTTGAAAGTTTGTAGGCGTCATTGTACATTGGACTACTAAAAGGAAATTATATAGCTTTAAAACTCATCTACCACCTTAAATTGATAATTTGTACACTTTATGAAAAGAGCGAGATTTATTAAACACAACTTTGAAAATATGATGATTGAGCTTGTAATTATTTAATGCAATTAACGATCGATATATATGCATCGTTTCGAAAATATACATATAACATCATTTCGTAACATATAAAGACGAGGTTTAAACATTCCACACTTAAGACTACAACGTCTATGCATACAACGTTTATCTCTCAATTATCAACATCTTTCATCTTTTGTAAATAAAACACCTTAGGTGAATATTCAAATACACGCCCTTTTTGTTTGAAATAAATATACTAACTAATTTAGGTATGACCTGTCAACATTTTTTATTAATTTACTAATAACAAAATTTTCACCTTTCGTGTTGTCCACAATTTTTATTCTAACAAATTTAGTCGCGTTAGATAATAATTTTGATGGTTTAATTTTGGTCTTTAACATGGTTACTTGTTCATCTATGGCGTGTCTTTTATCTTCTTCAATTGAAAATCTCTTTCGTTTTTTTTTTGTTAAGACCAAGGTTCAAAATGTCAATGTCGATAGAAATATCGAAGTCTTGATTTTATGGACATGTCGATGTCGATGGATATTTCGGAAAAAAATTACGAAAATAGTGGATATTGATGGAAAATTTTTAAATTAGTAAATAATACTTGTAGCTTAATTAGTCTATAACTAATTACTTCTAACTATCATATATAACCATATAAGTAATATACTTATAGAAATATAGTTACGATGAAAATGTTGAAACAAAATCATGTATACATATATGAAAATTATTTGAGTCGGTAAATTAAAGTTTAATGTTGTTCATAATTTCTAATCCAATCTAATTACGTAAGTGAACAAAATATGTAAAATATAGATATATATATAAAGTATGAAATAATTTTTAAAAATTAGATTTAGTTTAAATTTTAAATATTTAATAATAATTAGTTAAATTGATTTTCTTTATTATCTTGTTTTAAGATTTGGTGGGTTAAATTTAATTTAAAATTTGTTTTTGTTTTAAATAAATTATTTGAAGATTTTATTAGATATTTAAGTTAAATTTAATTTAAATTTTGTTTTTTCTTTAAATCAATTAAGATTTTGTTAGATTTTGTTAGTTAAATTTAATTAAAGAATTAAATTTTTTATAAATAGATTATTTATAATCTATATTTTTAATATTTAATTAGATTTTTATTGACGTTGTTCGTTTCCTTTTCTCTTTTGAACCTAAGAATTAAACTTTTCTGAAATTAAATGTTTAATAATAATGAGTTAAATTGATTTTAATTATTTGTTTGTTTTAAGATTTCATTAGTTAAATTTAATTTAAATTTTGTTTTTCTTTTAAATCAATTCACCTTTAAGATTTTTTTAAATTTGTGAGTTAAATTTAATTTAAATTAAGTTTTTTATATATTGATTATTTATAATCTTTAAGATTTTATTAAATTTTTTTAGTTAAATTAATTTGAAGTTGTTTTTTTTTTCCATTTTTTGATCCAAAATGATAAGAATTTAACTTTAATTTCTTTAAAAAGAAAAATAAAAAACACCCAATGTCGTATAATTTTTTAGACTTTTTTGTTTACTCTTCACAAGCTTTGAATTTACACAAAACTAAAAGACGTTTTGAAAATAAATCATTCTTTTTTAAAGGTTTGGATTCAAAATTTCCGATCTAAATCTTTTCTTCAAAAACAACGGATGTTCTCTAAGTCTTAACTAACTAGAAGGTCACCATGGATCCAAACCTTATCAATAGTTTGGGGATTCAATGCAAAAAAAAAAAAAAAAAGAAGACATTTGGTCTGACATTTCTCGACATTTGGTCGACATGTCGACGACATTGGGGGAAAACGATTTTCTCCCCCAATGTCGATGTCGAGCGAAATTTTGAACATTGGTTAAGACTATACATATCCATAGATACATTATTATAAATTTATGCTTTAACGCGGATGTTTATATATATATATTAGTACAATATGTGGGGATCAAGATGCCGTGGAGTTTGCTCAAGTAGAGAGTGTGATTTAATGCTTTTCTTTTATTTGTTGTTTCTATTGTATTTATAAAAAAAAAAAAACATCTGGGGATCAAATTTACGACTATTTAATTGCTTCAACGTATATAACCATACACATATTTTATCGAAAAGTTCCACTATTCATGAAGATAAATATAACAGTGGGAGTAAATTGTTATCGATGATATAACAACATCTACTTTTATTATGCATGTGATAGATTATCGTGAACATATACCATATAACAAAAACGGGTAAGGAATAATGTACTTTCGATTTCTCAATATTTCAGTTTTAGTTATTCAGTTTACACTTTAAACGTGCAATACACAACTTAAGTTCTTACTAATCCATACATTTGTTATTTTAAAGGCAATTCTTCTTCTTCTTCTTTTTTTCTTTTTGCTTGAAAGCAAGGGCAATTTTTTTGAACGGTGTTCGACACTAATAGTATATACAACCACACTACTTGATCGGGGATTCTATATTTTTTTAAAATCACTTGAAAATTATTGTCAAACATGTTAGTTTTAAATTGTAGAGTGAAAGCGATATAACCATGTCAAATATGAGTTTAGATAATGATGTTAGAATGAATGAGTTTGGCCAACAAACTTTTAAAATTTAAGGATAATTGATTTTGTACCAACATGAGGTTAAATGAGGTTCACACAAAATCAATTATCATTATAGTTCAATGGGTTACTCATTCTAAAATCATCATTATACTGAAAACACCCTTAATATGGTGAAAAAAATGGGTTAAAACTAAATGATTGTGAGTTCAAATCTCTCCCTCTACAAAATTATTTTTAATTATATAAATATAATAAAAATAATTTTGAATAACTATTATTTACGATTTAAATAGATAATTTGACAAAAATTGTAGGGAGAGAAGTTAGATCGGAACAAAAATCTCAGACATATAGTATGAGGGACAAAAATATTATGGACAGACAGAAATTTAAAAAGGATGGGAACTAAAAATTCCAACACATATTACAAAAGTTTTAAAGAAAAATATTAGAGAATAAACAAAATTAAATATTAATAAAGTTAGAGAGTAACAGAAATTTTAGAAATAAAATTTCTAAAATTATAAGGTGGAGTAGAAAATAAAATTAAAATTTAAAACAATAACTATTTTAAAAAATTAAACTTCTCTCGAAATTGTGATAAAAAAAATCACTTGAGAATCACCTGGTAGATTGAATCACTTCAATCAATTTTTTGTATTTTTCAAAATCACTCCAAAATAATTATCAAATATATTATTTTTAAAATAGTAGTTATTTTAATCCGAACGAAAGTGATCGTAGTCAAAAAAGTTGAATTAAAATTTTACTTTTTCGAATGTACTTAGAAGTGGATCGCCAAGAATCAAATACTCAAAAATTAAAACTAAGAAAAAAAAAACACAATAAGTTAATATTAAACTATTAATCTTTTATCCAAAAAAAAAAAAAAAACTATTAATCGTTATTTCCTATTTCCGCCCGGAGCGAAACTGGTCCGCGAATCCTTAAATAGAGCGCTGTTTGCCAATTACGCCCTTTCTCTCACCCAAAGCTCTTCGTGTCATTACTTCGCCACCGCATCCACCGGCCCTCTCTCTCTCTCTCTCCGCCCATTCTCTCTCTCCTCTCCGGCGACCTCTGCCTTCTGGATCACCGGCTCCGATCTCCCCTCTCAACGAACCCTAGGTCTTCAACAACGAAGCAGCACCCCTCTTCCCCGCTCCGCGTTTCCTAAACCCTAACTCAATCCAATCCGCCATCCCACTTTCCATCTCCGACGCGCCGCTCGTTTATTGATTCATCCTGCATATCCAGGTGAGGATCATGTTTGGAATGTTGCGTTGTTTCAATTTCATGGTTGTCGTATCTCCTTCTGCTATGGAGCTGTTGGTATTGCTGGGTTTCTTTGGGAGCTACAATTTCTAGGGGATTAGGTTTTTAGTGGGTTGGCATCTTCTGAATCATGGAAAACGGATAGTAAAGTAGAAGAAACGGAATGGAAAATAGGTACGAGGTTCACTTTGACGGGCTTGCTTGGGAAGCTTTTCAATTTATCATCGGGCATCTGGCAAATTCTAGTTTTGAAATGTTAATATTTCCTAATCGGTTGAGTTTTCCGGCGGAATGATGATTTGGGTTTCTCTCTCGTTTTTCTTTGTTACTTTTGCTTTCCCCTCAAATAATGCTACTACTATTATTGTTTTTAATGCCCATGATCCTGCTGCTAGACGTTGTTTAATTATTTCATTCTCTGCGAAATTGCTGTTTCAAAGTCGGAGCGGCATTGTGCATGCGTGGACAGTAAACATTATTGTAAGTTGGGTAATTTTTAGCGAATTCACATCCGTTCACATAGTTTCCCATGATGTTCTTGAGCCTGAAGTTATCTCCAAGTCCTTGATGGTGCAAAAAAGTCACCATCTGCTCTCTCTTGAACACGTGCTTAGATCACAAGATGATCAGCACTGCAAAAAAGTGGATTTTAATTTTTTTAATCTGATCATTGATCCTAAGTCGAAATTTTCTCATGCGTTTACTCTCTTCAATTTATTCTTAGCAATTTTTCTGCGGCCGGTATCATCCTCATCAGAACTACTATTTTTAGCAATTTTTATTCATGCCTTTACTCTGAACTTTTTTTTTTTGACTTTTAGCGAGTAGCATAATTTAATGTCATAGTTACATAAATAACAATTGTTTTATTAGTTTCACAAACATAGCACTCAGTAGTTCCTACCATCACTACTTTTTTGTTAAGACAAGGATTTTCATTGATTTTATGAAAAATGGAAAAGGGGACACTAGTTTCTTTCTTAGGATCCAACCGAAAACTTCTCTACGAGGTATTCATTACAAAATTGTTTGACCAGAGTACACCAAGAAGATGCTAGAAACTTAGTAAGTCCACGAATTTCCTTTCAAAACTATAAGAGATCTACTATTTTGCTACAGCCAGTGTTCCAACAATTGAGCTTAACCAAATGATTTTTGCCTGCTTCCTCGACATAGCACTAGAACATTATAGTAGTGCTTTAAAGAAAGTCCTTTTAGTAGTTTTTTTTCATTAATTTTCTAGGGCTAATGATTTTCCTGAATATATTTTCCGTCTTGTATTGTTTTAGATTAGTGGACATCTCTTCTTCTTCTGCTGCATTTTACTCGTGCATAGAAATCATGATATTTATATCAAACACAACACATCTAAATTTTTGGCAGAAGAATGACCCTACAGATTTTGACATTCTTTCAGTAGGTTCTGGTTTGCAACTGACATGAATCTACAACAACCCGTACAGTCCAAACCTTCTGCTAATGGTTTTGGACGTCGGAGAGGCGACAGGGATGTAGGATCTAAGTTTGAGAATAAATTTCAGTCTGGAAAATCAAACCCCAACAGATTAACTAATACAAGTGAGTTTTGTTATCCAAAAGTTTTTTTAAAAGACGTGTTTGTTCTACCTGATGTTCATCTCTCTAATATTTGTTTATATAGGAGCAGTAGCTGGCAGCAAAGATGGAAGTTTTGGGAGTACCTCAAATGATCGATTAGTGTATTTAACTGCATGTTTTATTGGGCATCATGTAGAAGTCCAGGTTAAAAACGGATCTATATATAGTGGAATATTCCACTCAACCAATGCTGAAAAAGATTTTGGTATGTTTTCGTTTCCTCTACTCTTATGTGAAATGCACATTTAATGAGCAGCCTTGTAAACTAATTTTTTCTTCTCTTCATCATCTGTAATTCTATAATTTGATGCCTCTAGCCATGTTAATTTGATCCTCATTTTCAGGAATTATATTAAAAATGGCACGCTTGACAAAGGATACTTCTTCTTCACGGGGGCAGAAAACCATTGGAGACTCTTTGAATAAGGCACCTTCGAAGACTTTAGTAATACCAGCTAAGGATCTTGTGCAAGTTATAGCCAAGGTTCTGCTTCTTCGATTTAAGAGCGTTAATTTTTCCCCCACTTTTGTGATAAGATCAAGAAATTGCATGGTCTGACTTAAATATTTTGATGGATGTTATGTTAAGGACTGATGACCATGAAAATTGTATGTTAATATGTGGATTGTCATATCCATTTTTCATTCTCAATTTATCTTCAATGATCTGATCGTTTTGTTCAAAAATTGATCCCAGGATGTGACGGTTACGAAGGATGGACTGGCAAATGAAGTTCATCAAGAAAAACAAGAGGAACTTTTGATAGACTCTTTTATCTCACAATCACGTAATGTTGAGGCAGAAAGAGAATTGAAACCATGGATACCTGATGATGATGATCCTCAATTTCCTGAATTGGATAACATATTTGATGGCCCATGGAATAGGTTATCACGAACTTCCCTCTAATGCAGTTATTTTCCTTTTCTTTTGAAAATTCTTTGTTCATATGGAGTTACTCTGTAATGTGATTGTGACCATTGACCCCCGATTTTTACTTATTTGTCTAATAAGTCAATTTTCTTTTGTTCATTTTGGCCCAAATCCACCATGTGAGTCTTAACATATAATAATTCCGTTCCCCATAATATAAATACACAACATTGTTTTATTCCCAAATTTGGGATTTTTTGTTCTTCATGTATTGAAGAATATTAGTCCCAATGGTGCCCTGTTATGTGCGTAAGAGATTCTTTGGTGTGTTTTTTTCTCCGAATAGCTTATTTTAAGACTCTTGAGACTTGTGAGTTTTATCTCTTATCCGGTTAATACACCTCTTTTCAAACAAATGTCAAAAGCTAAAGCGCTGTAGCTCTATCTTTTTCTTGACTGGTTGGTGGCATAGGAAGATTAATTTCAATGGTCTTGTTCAGATGAATGCTTCCTCCTGCCTTCCTTTATTAGTGTATCTTGTGTTAAGTTGTGTGGAGGGATCTTGATCATGGCTCCTTCATTTGCCCTTCATACCCTTTATTGAGGCATGTATTTATCTATTCATTTCTTCGTTAAGAGCTGTTGCTTTTGTATTAAGGTTGATTTCTCTCTCTCTCTCTATCTCTCTCTTGTTTTTTTTTTGTTTTTTTTTTTTTGCATCCTTGAGCTTTTTCTATTTGTTTGGCACATGGTTGAAGAGATTTGAATTATGTTTTAGATTATGCTCCTGATATGATGGCCACTAGGAATAGAGTTCAGATCATATTCTCTCTTAGGGCTTTATTCTGACGATTTTCCAAAATTTATCTTTTTATTAATAGCAAGCAGAGTACTTGTTTCTGTCTGGTATATCTTTATATTGAGATTTTTTTTTGGGTTAGATATTTTATGTAGTCTTCCACTCTTCCTCTCTTCCATGTACTTTCTCTTTGTATGAAATTGTTGATATATATATTTTTTTAATAAAATTATTTTAAAAAGGAACTGCTCATTGAGTATTACTTGTGTTTGATGGTGTTGTATCATTTTCCCTTTCTATCCACCATTCAGTAGTTGCTCCAGGACAACAATTTTGTGAGGGTTTGAACCTATTAGCTACACCTTGTACAACCACATATCTTTAGAACTATAATTTCTTTTGGGTACAACATTGTCATTATTTGAAGACAAGATCATTATTGTCAAAATTGGTATGTTTTGGTTGAACATGGTCGTGGTAAACAAGAAGATTGGTAGAATTAAATGCTTCTTTTCCCTTGAGTTTAAGATCTTTATATTTCTCTTAATTGATTACTATTTTTTAACGCCAAGCTTTTGGTGATGGATGGGTGCCAAAAGCCAGTTTTGAGGTTTATTTTATTTTATTTGTAAACGTGTGATTGTTCTCATTGGTTGGTTACATTTATAGTGCTGAATGTTGAAGCCTTGAAGGGTGTATAATTGCAGCCTGCAGGTAGTCTTATATTCTTGCAGGGATGTTTAATTAGTTCAAAATTGGGACGTCGGTCTAAACTTCTGCTATGTATTCTTTAAAGATGTTTAATCTTGTTACATTCTTACATATATATTTATAATTGTTTTTCATGCTGTTGCTTCTTTTAGGAGTTGGGATCAGTTTGAAGCTAATGAAAAACTTTTTGGAGTTAAAAGCACTTTTGATGAAGAAATTTATACCACAAAGCTTGAGAGAGGTCCTCAGACAAGAGAGTTGGAAAAGGAAGCTTCAAGGATAGCCAGAGAAATAGAGGGTGAGGACACTGAAGATCTTCATTTAGCAGAGGTGAGGTAGTTTTTGGCATCCGACTGCATTTCTCATGGCACAGATTATGAGTATTCTTCTGTGGAACTCATTCTTTTTTCCTTTGATTTTATTTAAACAGGAAAGAGGCATTTACTTTCATGATAAGTTTGATATTGACGAGGAAACCAGATTCTCTTCTGTATTTCGTGGGAAGGTGGCTGATGATGGTGGATATGATGAGAGTGAAGATATATCATTCAATTCACGTAACACTGAAACCTTTGGGGGGTCGTCTGACACCGACATTAGGTTTGCAGATACATTCTCTGGAAAATGCAGTGATGTAGCTTCTGTTTCAAGCTCAGCATCCTTGGTATTTCTTCAATTAGCTTCTACTACAATCTCTTTGTGATTTTGGTTCTTCACTATGTGGGTCATAGTATTAATTGGAAATACTGGTGGCTGTTTTAATCCGCCAACCGAGTCTGCTTTATTTTTTATTTTGTCCTGATCATGTATGCATTACCTTGAATGGATAATGATATTTTTGTCATGCCAAAAACCTGTGTTTGAATGCATGAAACTTTATCTGACAAGTGGCTCAATATTTTTTCTTTTTCTTAAATGGATGGAGGAAAATGTTACAATATTTATGCCTATACCCATGGGAAATCATGCACTCTTTACATCTGCGAGTTGCAAAATCTTGGCTTCTAGCCGTACGTAGCACAAATTTATTAGTTTTCATATATATATATAATAACGTCAGGCATTTCAATTCCAAGACATTATTCCATTATGGACAATCTAGTTTTACTATAACTTTCCCCTTGATGTTATACATTTCAATGTTTAGTCAAACTCATTATTTTTTCGAATACTAAAGCTTATTTAAACTTGATAAGCTGTCTCAACTTGGTGCTATGAGGGGTCTGTTTGGTTAAGTATCCTGCTTGGTTCATGTTCTTCCTTGCTCCTAGCTGTTCTTGGTCCTTTCATTCCCATTAGAGATTTATTTAGACTAACTTGTCCTGATTTGCAGGATCAAACACAACCTGCCCAAACAAATATTGGTGTAGATCTATCCAGATCTACTCCCATTAATCATGCCAGACAGCTGGCATCTGAAACCTCGTGCAAAAGTTGCCCTACTTTGGAAATTGAAAGCAGGTTTTTACTGATACAATGTTTTATATATTTCTTTTTGGTGGAAAATGAATTTATTGATTCAGTAAGAAGTGGTGTTTTGGAGACATTATGATCCACTATCAAAGTTGATTTTCTGGTTTTAACATCTGAAATATAGGATCCAGGACAACAAACAGCATGGGGAGAATGATGCGGAGGAGTCTGTAGAAAAGGAGAGGGTGAGTTTTTTAAAATAGCACTTTTGCAGAATCTGCTTTGCTGCCTGCTTGTATGGTGTTCCTGGACTTACTTGTTCTATTTTGCCATTATTGCAGCAGACAGTTAACGACTCTCAATTTGCAAAATTTGATGGTGAGCGATTTTCTGCATAATTCCCAGCTCCTAATGTATTAAACTGCAATTATTATTTTGATTAGAAGATTATTATTTTGATTAGAAGAGTTAAAGTGACATGCATTAGATGCAACGAGGCCTTAGTTAATCTTTCTAGAATTGTATTTTCCATTTCCAATAGTTTTTTTGGGATAACTCTCTCTTGGTGGTCTCGTGTTGCCTATTGCATTCAACTCGCAAATTGATTTTTAAATTACCATTAAGTTAAATTTTCTCTATTCGTGCTAATACTCAGCTTCTAATTGAACTTTGGTGATGGGAACAATAGATTTGCAGCCGTTAAAAAAAGATGGATCTAGTGAAGGGATATTGCCGAACGTTGCCCCGCATGCTCCATCTCGTGCTCCATCAAAGCATAATGAGAATTTAAATCCCCCTTCTGAGATATCTGATGATCAAGAATCTGGGAAATCTCGTGTAGAAGTTCAAATTTTGAACTCTTGCAGACGACCTGGTAGTTCTGCATCATTGACTTCAGATGGTGCTGCTGGTACTTCTTGTGGTCCTGCATTATCTCCTAGCTCATCGATGGGATCACTATCCTCTGAAAAATCAACCCTTAATCCTCGTTCTAAGGTATTCTTTTTTGCTGGACTAGGTCAACCAGCAAAAAAACTAGAAGATAGGCTTATAACTAGAATGACCGCAAATATTATTCATTTTTATGTGTTGGTTGTTTCATGTCAATTAATATCTTTGGCTCTGCTTTTATACTTCGCCTACTATTGTGAATAGGAATTCAGACTCAATCCTAATGCAAAGAGTTTCACCCCATCTCAAGCACCCGTTAGGCCACCTTCACCAGTATCTGATGGTTCGTTTTACTACCAGGGCAACATGCCTGCAGTACCCCATATGCACGGGATGACTTATGGTGTTGGAGTAAGTGCATGTATATTGTCATGTTTAGTGTCTCCTGCGAAATTAGCTTCTATTGAATATTGAAATATAATTGTATATACATTTATATGCTTGGCCTGCCAAATAAATTCAACTTTGCCGTAGACCTGTCATATCTGCTAGAATCTACTTCAATCTAGATCTTCTGGATCTTGACCTCCTATTCAGATAGCGTGGAAATTTCCTATTGATGCTCTTCTTTTTCTGTAATAGTTTTCAACTTTTCATGGTTTTGCAGTTTGGACCTACATTTGCAGGTCACCAGCCTGTTGTATTTAATCCAATGGTTGCACCGATGCAGTCACCACATGCATATGTTCAGCCAAATGGACCACAAGTATGATTTACTGAAAATATGAAGTTGTGCCTTTCTTAAATTTATTTTCTCTAAAGGCAAAATTCTTTACATTACAATTTTTATTCCCTTAAAATGCAGTATGCACAACCCATGCTTCTTGGCCATCCAAGGCACGCCATGTACATGCCGGGCTACCAACCTGTAAGCAGTTCTCAGATTGTCGCAAAGCTTTTTGGTTTTATTGTTGCCTTTAGAATATGTTTCCTAAAAAGTTAATTTATAAGTTCGGTCTATCAACTTTTAGGATAGTATCTAACATGTCCCAAATAGTACTAGGTACTAAGTGTCTAACATGTCCCTAAATTTTGAAAGTTTACTGGAAGTTTTTTTAAAGTTTAAGGACACGTTAGACACAACTAAACTTGGTTAACATTTTTCTTAAACAGTGTGTTAGAACTCGGAATATATTGAAAGATAAAAGATAAACGAACTACAATAGCTACCAAGTATTAGAGGTACTTGGACCCTCCCCCTCTTGAGATATCACTCGAGCCAAAACCATACTCACTCATTGGATACCTTCATCCTTACACCCACACTCTATTTATAACACTCTCTCTAACTATTTTCCTATCTAATTACTAAGGTACCCTCAATACCCTAATAATATCCCTTTATTACCCTACGGACCAATCCTGTCACAGTGCACCTCGAATGGCTAATATTTTGGGCAGGCTGTTTGCATTTATATCTTGCTCCCATTTATCCCACTGTCCTTATGGATTTCAAATTTTCCGTATTAACAGGATATGCCATACAAGGGGCGCGAGTATTAGACGGTTGCCCTGATGCTGCTGCCTGCAGTTTTACTCCTTCATATCGGAGGCATTGCTTTGAACAGACTCGCACCGAAG